AAATCATTTGTTTGAAAATAGTATCAAATAAATATTTACTAAATGTAATGATATATTCATTTGGTACAAAACCATTAAATTTAATTTGACAATTATTTTTTATTAAATAAATATTTACTTACTGTAAGTAAAAATATTTAGTTGGCACTGTATATATTCTGATAGATATTTATTGAAATTTAGTAGTATTTTTCTTAATGTGTGTGTGTGTGTGTGTGTACATATATATATATACTTGTATATAAACTTCTATATGTTTTATATATGAAATTTGGTGCTGTGGTTGCCACCACGTGTCACTCTCTAAAATTTTCAGAATAAATGTCATTCTGAGGTGCGAAATTTTATCTCTTAAAGATTGAAAATTGAGCCACTCTTTTTCTTAAGATTGGCTCAATTGCCCCTTTAGAGTGGGATTCCACTCCAAAGAATTTAGAGAGTAGGTACACATGTGCGTGCACACGCCGCGATGCCTACCTCGCGCTCAACTTTTTCGTTCTTATTGCGAACATCTTACGTTCGTATTAACCCTTATACCTCGCTTAATGATATTCCGGCCTACCATGTTGGCATATTGAACGCAACTAAGGCAGATTCCAGGCTTGGTCGTCGGACCAAGACCCGCCGCCGCCGACCAAGCCCACCTGTAAATACGTATATCCGTACGTATATATACTCCGTGTATATACATACGTATATGCGACGGGAGGAGAGATCATTTCTGTGCTCGTTTTGCACTACGTATCGGAGCTATGGAGAAGAGAAAGATATAAAATCTCTCTCTCTCTCTCTCTCTCTCGCGAGTCGAATTAAGCGCGTCGTTAGCCAAAGGAATCGACCGATGATTTTATCAAGATTCGGAATATCGAGATGTATACATTGTGGCCTCGCCCCATTATTGTCGAAGAGCGTAATTTATCGAGAATATTCATACGAACGTACGAGATTTTGCATGTATAATTGTTATATTAAAACGCATGCACCGATGACGTCCACGTACGATCTAAAAGGTCGTCCAATGACTTCATCTTTTAAAGAACGGTGAATAATGAAATTTTATGTTTTCTGACTGAAGAATATTTTTTTAACATTCAACGCGACACATTACTACCTGCTTTAATTTTATATTGAAAGATTTGTAAATGGCAAGATTTTGAAATATCGCAAGCTTAAGTTTTACATTTTCAATTAAAAGGATAATTTTACAATCATCTTTTAATTAAGTTATTTATCATTTATTTCTATTTAACGTTAGCATATTTGCAAGTTTTAGCATTGTCAATTTGTAAAAAGTATCAAAAGTATACTCAACGAGAGAATGACCGCGATTTGCGCATAGCAGGCAATGTAACGCTATGAAGATCGCAAAACGGACGAGTTTTCGCCCGATCGGAAGTCATTCTCTCGTTGAACGGAGTATAGGTGTCTCTTAAAAGTTCTTCTTACGTCAAAATATTGCGTCTAAGAATTGTAGCGACATATATCCACACGATGCATAGGTATATTTCGGCACTTTATTATATTACATTGTTTGTATTTTGACTGTTTATGCGGCACAGGGAGTACCGGAACGCTGGTAAGGATAATTCTGTACATACTGTGTGTCGCTTAGGTCCAATTGCACGTTACTTTGATTTTAAGCGAGGCTTAAAACTCTTTCTGTCTTTGTCACTTTTTGGCTTTAAAACGAGACAGATAGAGCTTTAAGTCTCGCTTCAAGTCAAAGTGACATTGGTACAACTGAGCATTAATCATTTTACATAAAACATTTCTCTCTCTCTCTCTCTCTCTCTCTCTGTCTCTCTCTCTCACGTCTTTTACTTGACGAGGCTTTGTTCGGATTTCTCACAGGAAAGAAATGGCGAGGACTGACGCCGCAAGACAGGAGGCCTTACGTCGAGGAGGCTGAGAGGCTCCGAGTCATACACATGCAAGAACATCCGAATTACAAGTACAGGCCGCGACGTAGGAAGCACGCGAAACGGACACCCGGTGCACCGTCCTCGCCTCCTTCGGCGACCAACACCGCGGGCAACAGGTCCAATCCTACCGGCTCGGCGATTCATCATTCCATGTAAGTCGATACTCTGACCCGTATTTTCTGCTAATGAAGGTACGTGCGAGCTAACCGCCGCGGTTAATTGAGAGATTCCGGCGAGATTTAAACGATGAAGCGCCGACGACGGCATTATGATTTCGACGGTTAACGTTGTTCGAGACTTAACAATGTTTAGACGTGTTGAGTATTCGTCTTAATAAGGAATGTAAATATATTGCATACTTGTGTACAATTACAAAGCGACAGTGCATCATTTATGTATCGTAATCGAAATACGTTTAAGGTCCAAGATGGACAGTTACCAAGGCATGTCTCAAATCCCATGGGGTGGCCATTCCCCGATCTCATCCCTGTATCATCAACAGCAACAGCAGGGTATCCAGGAGTACAAATCGGAAAATAATTCGCTCTACGGCAGTCCTTATACGCCCATCATCCACTCCCCGGACATATCTCCGGTGGCCAGTCCCGAGCCCGATGGTAAATTTTTTAAATAAAAAATCAACCGGATAATTGAATTTTCTTTAAAATCCTTGTTTTACGTAAAAGCTAAAATACAACGGTTTTTTTTTTATTTTTTTTTTAAATTAATAGTATAATACAATCAGTTAGATGACTTTTTGTGTAAAAATAAATTGAAAAGGGAATAATAACAAAAAACAATACGACGCGACTAAAATAATTATGAAATAATTATACATGTAAGTACAAAATGATTGAGATAATTTAATTTACCAGGTGATGGTGGTCATCTATCGTCCGCTCAAAATCCAGATCCAGAACGAGATCTAATGGAAGGTACTTCAAAGCAACATGGAGACATGTCCGATCAGACGAAACGATATACCTTTATGAGTAGTGACAATCAACTGCACGCGGGTCACGCTAGTAACACTAGCATATCATCGTGTCAAAATTCCGGCAGTTATACGGATACCTTAACGTATAAAAAATCCGTACGTATTCCGCACTTTTGAGATTTCTATATTACGTTACGATTATAATCTTTCTACAAATTATCGTTTATTAAACTACGAATAAAAATTTATATTTAATTATTTCATCTGTGCTTCAATTTAATGAAATTAAAAATTTCTTTTTACATTTAATCAATTTAAACCTCCTCCAATTTAAACCTTTGTAATTTCTTTACGTTATGCTAAATTAATCCGCGTCAGATCAGATCGAACGATACAAGCAATTATATTTTTCGTCAGGTGGGCTATTTGAATTTTGAGAGACAGTCAACGAGTATAGCCGCAGTGGGCATAGCGAACGGTATGATGGTGTCGTGCAATAAGCTCCGCTCCGGTTTCGACAACGTCGGCTCCGTCACGGGCACGTTTTATCCACCAGTCGCCTCGCCGCACGATCAATCGCTGCAGCATTACAGCGGCACGCAGACGTCTAAGAGCACAACGAACTATTCGATGCAACCTACCGTCGAGAGTAATTACAATCCGGTCCAATGCGCCAACAGTCGACAGCAGCCCATAGGAATCCGCGGAGCCGCTGAAAGTTGTCCCGGTAACATTTCCGTTCTTACTTACGCATATTAACCCTCAACTACATGAATGGATTATTGAATCCGGGTGAGAGTTTTAATCTGCCACTATTTTTGTATGGTTAATATTGCAAAGTTGAAGCGAGGGAGTAAAAAAACTTGGAACCTTTCTCTGTTGATCGCCGTGATGCAATTATTTCGTCGTTGTCTTGACCGCTAATTGTGCAATAAAAGTTTGGCTTGGCCCCGTCAAATGTAAATTCGAGATTTTTGCCGAAAGTAAAAATTTAGTAAATGCTTGTTTATTAGTGCTGTATTCAAGTGTATATTGTCTTCTTATAGTTAAAACATATATTCATTGTCAAGAAAAGCATTTTTGCGAGAGAGACGTCTTGGTGATCACTCTATTTTCTCGGAGTTATAAAATTGAATAAATAATCGAAATCATACATATATTTAATATAAAATATTTTCATTACATTTTTTTTTTAAAGAAGAAAATACTCGACATACCTTCGATATCGTTTTTCCGAGCATGTATATTGTATAACGATGCCCCCACTTCAATCGTGCAAATAATTATACTTTTTAGAATACTTTTTTTCTTAAAATTCACGTTTTTGTCTTTTCAAAAAACTACTTATTTTTATTTGTATCTTTTTTATCACACAATTTTTTTTTTAATAATTGATTATTGTATTTCTTTCACAAATTATTCTTTAATATTTTTTGACATAATTTTTTAAATCATTATCAAAATTTTTTTATGTTTTATGTTTTAATATCTTGATTCTATACATTCTAGCACTTTATTTAAAAAAAATATTTTTCATTGAGATTTGTGATAATTACGGAGCCAATGAAAAACGCCGTGGGTGATCCAGACATGTAAATTAAGACTCTAAAGACATGTAGTTGAGAGTTAAATTCAAAGGCTCGTAGATCTCGACTAAGAATAAAAGGTTCTTAGCGATTATAACATAATCGAGAAACGCGATATTATCCTTTATAAAAAAGATATAAGCAACAGAAATAATTTGGAATTAATTGCTTTTATATTTTTTAAAGAAAATTATTTTCTCGAGAAATGTAAAAGTAAAGAAATACTGGGAAATATTTCCGAATATCTATTCATAGCAAATATCAAAGGAATTATAGATAGAGTTCTCAATAATGATGCAATTTTATTAATCAAGTTCTTGTTCGTGCTTTTAATTTTTTATAGGCACAGTAACGCACCGATACCAAATGCATCATCAAGAGTATCAAACGGACGCGTCCTCCGGCCAGCAGCAACAGCAAGCGATTCTCGGCAGTCACATCGATCCTGGTATGAGTGCCGAGGATGATCAACAACAGACGCTCCAGCTGGAAAAATATTTCAAGTATTCTCATCCGACAAGCGTAGCACATTCGAGCCTATCGTCGCAGAATATGTTAGACAATAATCATAACTATGCCAGCGATCTGCGTTACTACGGGGCACCGCCGCAGTCTCTGGACATACCGAATTCTCAGTGCATCATCGACGATCAGCAGGGAAACAAGGATGCTCGTTGTCCTAATGTCGCGATCGGTCACACTATGGAGCAGTATCATCCGGGACTGGAGGTATCCAAGTACACGGATCACTCAGTGACGCAACAGCATCAACAATCACAACCACAGCAGCAGCAGCAGCAGAGCATGGAACACGTGTCCAAGGCTGACGATGATTTCAGTGTTATACTTGCGGACGTGCGCAAGACTTGCTACAGTAGCTAGTGTTTCTCCTTCTAGTGCACAAAACGATCCATAGATTTCGGATTAGATTGACGTGTGAATTTCAGGGACTCATTTTTAGCTCACAATCAAGGAGAACAGGATATTTTGCGCACATTTTATGTCATCATGTGGTTAGTGCTACCCGAAATATATCAAAATATTTTATCTCGTGATAAAAGGTATGTTCTTCTCATTAACTAAATAATATTTTAGCTCAGAGTTTTCACGCGAGCAAAAGATATTGTTTGTCAATACTTCATTCAATTTTCAACACGGAAAATATTTATAGTTGCAGTTTTATCTTTTGTAACTCCGTCTAAGAGTATCCTCTGTGTAAGCACGATCTCTTATGGATGTCAGTACAATTGAAATTGTGAGTCAGTGGCGTATAATTGTCGCTTACAAATTGTCAACAAATTGCACTAAGTGAAATTGCGATAAAAATATGATACGAATATAATAATACGATACAAACAATGATAAATTACCTGATATAATCAAGAATGTCATCATATTTTGTTACAATGAGTATCGTTTTATTGAAATCTTTTACAAGATATTAAATTTCTTCGATCTCTTCTTCGATATCTTATCTACAGTCTTATATGAACACTTTAGGACCTCAGAAACGTAATGAGATAGGCGGCTAATGGTGCACGACTAGTGTATAGCATTAAAATTGCAGAGAGAATTGTATACTCACATAGATGTCACATTAGTTTCATTATCAAAGATAATACAGTAGCAGAGATATAATAGCGATAGCGAGAGATATTAAATTTTATATTGTTATATTAGAAAACTTTCACATGTCAAGAAATATTTTGCATCAGTAAGTCTTCTCGTATTTATTCCGAGATAGCAGCATTTACTTTTGGTGCTACACCACTGTGAGCTTTATCATCCAAAAGCTTATTTTTAATCGCTACAAACGATTGATTTTATATAATGTATGTTTTTTGTTGTACATAAATTTTTCTTTTCTTGCTCATCATGGTGACAATTCTAGCAATTTGTGCAAACTGCACATCAAGTTTCGTAGAAATGCAAATGGTGCAAAATGTCTTCGATGTGTATAGAAATGTGTAAAGAATTTTGGGTAAATTATGATTACATTATTATTTTGCTATTATTATATTACCTATATTAATTAACATTATTATTATTATTATTATTATTATTATTAATATATCGTACTTAATAGAATCAATTATTTACCTCCCTTCTTCCCTCCTCCCCATATCTTCTTCAAAGAATATTCTTCCACAAAAAAAAAAACAACACATTTTTGACGCGTTTTACATTGTTCATATTGTTTATTTTGTCATGTATGTATCTTACACGCCTATAATAGGTACACACAATATATGTATGAGACACACATATATATATATTATATTATAAAATATATGTTGTCCATATATCTTCATTTAAAATAAATTTCTTATTGAGAAATTTGACAAAATTATATAACTTTTTTCGAAAAACGTTGATATCTCTTATGAAGTAGTATATCACATAAATATATTTTAATCACGCATGATTAAAAACGATCGTTCAGGATTTTTTAATCGCTCGATGTTAATATTAAAATTATATTAAAACACACATGTATATGTATATTAATTCTTTTTATTAAATATATATAAAAAATATGTATATAAGATATAACATTATGTGTAAAGCTGAAATCATACTTAGTGTAGTGATACCTATAAATTTTACATCAAAGGGGGTTGATACAATGATTAAATATTTGGACAAATATTAAACATAGACAAATATTTCTCATTTTCTATTATATAATTATGACACTTCTTGCGTTAGAAGGCTCTAATATAGCTATATATAGGGGATTTCACTCTTAACGCACCACCTGCTAATGGCAGGCTCCTGAGTTATTTTGAGACTAAAATTCTAATACCAAAATATCGAGGCTATAATTTTTAAATTATAATCATTTAAATTAGCAAGTTATACCGTCTAAAATTTACACGTTCAGGTATGGTACAACACAAAGTGTTGTATTGTTACTAAAAATAAAAATAGGTGTCTTTTATTAATATCAATATAAATATTACGTAGGCAAAAATAAAATTACTGATATTTCTAATTTTTTATATTTATTATGTAAAAAAAAAATATTTAACCTGGACGTTATGTTATTAAATTTTCATCTCAAAATGATTTCAGAAATGTGCCATTAACAGATAGTGCGTTAGGTCTGAAATCTAACCAAGTATAAAGTCTTTCACCAAATAAATAGATTTATACATATATTAAACAACAAGTAAAAGAAACAAATATTAAATAAATATTTTAAAATATCCTCTCTTATAATAGGACATTTATAAATCCTTTCTCATTATCTAAAAACTGTTATTGCACATATCGCCCTTTCTAATATCCATTATAAAGCCACTATTGCAATTAAAATGTCGATACTAAAATCAATATATCAAAGTAAGACTTCAAAAATTAATCTTCAAATCTTTCCGTTGAATCTATATACATACATTTCTACACAAATAGTGCATTATTTACGAATTTATTCTGTCACATTTTATGTATTAATCCCCATTGATTTACACGTAAATATAATTGAGTGTGACGTGTGTTTTTTACCGTTACAGTATAAACAAAGTGTGTATAAACAAAGCTAATGTCGCTTAATTTATCAATCATAGCAGAACCAGAATTTTTACTAAGACGAAGAAGTAAAATTGATTCTTTTAACAATACATTCTTCTCTTTGAATTTGATTCTTTTCTTTGAAGTTACATTTAGACTTTTAACTTCAAATAATAATCTAAAATCTTCTATTGTCTTGTGCGTATTATGAAAAATCAATAGCAAGTGATTTTAGCATATTCATTTCTGACAATAAGTAAAAAGAGATGTTGATCTCGTCGTAGAATTACATATTGTGTTTGATATTTTTGAAGTCTTGAAATTTTAATTAATAGCACATTCAATAATTAAAATAATTTCAGTCGCGCTCCTGGCTCTGTTCCGTAGTATATTGTGAATGCAATTTATCACTATTTCTGCGTTTGTAACAATCAACCTCTAAAAAGATAACAGACGGCGAAGTCTATTTGGGGAATTGTGCTGAGTATAATTTTCCTCAGTACCATTATATTGCACTATACATCTTCTATTTGCAGTATAATGGTTACTAATTAAGACGACACCAAGTACTGCTTGATGTTTTTTTGTAAATGTTTCGTGAACGTTGAATTACAAGCGTAAGTATACGTATATATTTCCTCACTTCGAATAATCTCCCTTATATTGTAAATATGTATATGTGAGGGATTTCAGAGAGCAATAACTTAACCATTATACGCGCGCGCGTTAAATGGACAGATTTTGCAGTCTTATTCACAATAATTCGCTAGGTATACTCTTTCATTGAAACGTGCAAAGACATTCATTACAAATTGCAGATATTTGACGTATCAGTATAAATTGCGATAATATTCTTATAAAGTCTTGCACAGTACTGCAAATCTTACATAAACTGTACAATTTTCGGCTATTAACACGAATTTAAATATCTAATTCATCGATGTCTATTATTATTTGTGTCTCTGCATATATGAATCTGCATTATGTGTACAATTATAACATATAACACACACACGCACGCACGCATGCACGCATAAAATGTGTATAAATGGCAGCTTTACAAATCACGTATAAAATTTTCTACGTACAAATTATCCTGACATTTCTGAAGTGTTCGATAAATGAATATTTCTCGAGTAGAATATTTTTGTGTTTTGAATGGATTATTTGTAACATATGTATCCACAGTACAAAAAAATATTAGTCATAATATAATACAAAAATTACTGGGTATATAATTGGAATGATTTTGTTTTAGATGTTGTAAACAACAACGATTAGGAATGTTAGATAAATTCAATGGAAGTAAAAGTATTTGCGAATAATAACCTGGAACATATAATTGTTGATCACAAGAAATAATGTTCTACGTATTTTTTATCTGTATGTAACGGTTTTGCGTTTTTAAAATTTCTTGTTGCAAAACTAATTCTACAAAAGTAGAATTAAGAACAATATTTTTAATAAGATATATCAAAATATTTTATTATAAATCTTGGAATGTATGGAAATAAAATTCTGATGTAAATTGGATTTAAAAATTATAAATGTTACAAATATCCACTCAGTAAAGTCTACATGAATATATATATATTAATTAAGTGTTTTAAGGTCTAAAAAAAACAATAAATGACACATGAAACATTTTTAACGTTTAACGGTTTTACCTAGATAAGAAGAAAATAAAAATTTGTTGTTAATCCCTTAATATAAACCCTTTTAAAATATAATGCAATTGTAACCTTTAAAGTATAATCCTTATGTTATAAAGTACTTGAAAGATCTGCAGTATAAAATGCAATATAATCTAATATACAATCTTGCAAAAATATTTTTGCTTGATTTGCTTTGGCTTTAATTATGATATAATAGAATAAAATATATAAAACAAGAAAATGAAAAATTTAAATTTTATTCATAAAAGAGAATTACTAATAAATAAAAATTTTTAGTTTATACTTACTAAATAAAGCATAGAAATTATATTTATAATCAAGTTAACAAGAAAGTATTAGAAGGTTAATTTGTTCTTTTTTGTGAAAATTTTGTTTTAAATTTTAACTATCTAAAACAATTAAGCCCATATTTATAGTCGTTTCTCGAATCTCATCTCAAGAGCGTAGATGAGATACTCAGAATAAGGTCTGAGACACAAACTGCGTCTTGAGATACAGACGTTTCAATAGTTATGTCTTGATTAGAAATCAAATTATATAATATTAATATATTATATACATACATATACATATATATAGATTATAATGTAATCTTTAATATAAATATTATATAATATAATTTTTTCTTCTCAAGTTATCTCTGAACTATACTTAAAGAAGAAAATAAGTGATACGAAATTTTTGCCGACTCAAAGAATTAGAGGATACAAATTTCGAGGTTATTACAAGATCTTGCTTCAAGACTCAACTATTGAATCATAAAAAATATTTTGAGATAAACTTCATTTGAGTTTTTCATTTGAATCGCAATTACAAATCGACTCTCAAGATTCGTTTATTGAACTGTTCCTTGACTCAAGATTAGTTTCAGTTGAGTTTCTCAGCAGAAACACGACTATAAATACGGGCCTTAGAAACTTTTCTGAGATATTCAATTTGTTTCTAGCTCTCTTCATTTTTTTATGGCACTGCCATACTTAATAAATTGAAATTTTTAATCTACAGTGTCCTTATATGTCATTCATCCCATAGACAGTTCTGTTTCATTTTAGAATAATATGAGAATATAAAACATTTCTTACATGTTTTTATGCCACATCGGTAAGTGCTTGCTACCTTTTTGCCATCAGACTTTCCTTTGCAAAATTTTAAACCACACGGATACCAACCGATGCACAATTCAAGGGAACACGTACAAGGTGCCCAGAGATTTGATGTGTCAGCACATTTAGAGACCAATAATGACCTGGTATCGTTCATACCCGATTGCATATTTGTGAAATTATATACAGCTGCCATTAGTAACTCTTCCGAGGAACCTATCAATGGCATAAAATGACTAATATTACAATATATAAAAAATGTGTGGACATAATCACTTATTTTCCAGATATTTGCCTGGTCTTTGAATCCACTGTTTTATATCATCATTCCTGGTGTAAGTTGATCCAGCTGCTTCTGCACAAAGTATGGTAACATGCTTTGAGATTTCCTTGGATTGAGAAACATCCAGAAACAAGTCCATTGTGTAATTGACATGACCTCTGTCCTCCTCAGCTACCCGTACGGTACCTGGATTCTTTTGACGTAGTTTGGACATTGCATCAGATGATATAAAATCTACTTTATAAAAATGATTTACGAAACACATGACTTGATATTGATTTTGTCCACGTTCCTCCTCACCGAGTACCAAAGCTTTTATAACTTGAACTTCCTGTAAGAATGTTGTTCATTGAAATAAATTACAAAAAATTCATCCTTTTACATGGATATTTTTCCTTAATAAAATAATTACATTTTTGAAATCAATAAGTTGCGTGACTAATGTGCCATCGGAACGCTGGAATTCGAGAGTAATCAAATCTTCTGTAACATTAGACGAGATAGTTTCTAGAAGAATATCACCGCCCTGTAAATAAAATTTTCTTTTTAGGACTGTGTTAACATGAAAACTTATTGTTTAAGTTTTAATTATTTACTGACATAAAAAAAGAATATTTTATACAAATTTAAAAAATTATGTTTGAGATTAACTTCCAGAAAGATATTTATAATCGGTAGTTTATTCTTTTACAAATTATAAATTATGTACACGGCAAAGCTGATACATAATGGATATACAAGAAATTGTATTCGTCTACCTGATTTTTGACGTTTATGAGCAAGTGTGTAGTGCATACATCATAAAAGCACTGCAACACGACGCAAATCGCGAGAAACTCGTTGAGTCTCTTCATTGTCGCATTGTTAATCACTGTCGTGCACTTGCCTCGTCCGAGCTGACGACGACAAGCCGATGTCAGTGTAGAAGAGAAAAAAAAAAGATTATTCCATCGAGAGTATTATAACCTAACACACCAAGCTGCTAGTAACAATAGTAACTGCTCACAGTCATAGAGCTTATTGGAGGAATATAGACGTCCATAAAGTACGAATACTTGTGTTCAGAGGCTCGATTGTGTATTTTAAAACGAGGTGAAAGTTACAAAAGTGAACGAATTTACTAGAGTACTGATTATTTCATTGGTCAACACCTAGTTTGCTCACTTTTGTAATTTTTTGTATTGTATTGTATATTATGACATGCTGCATTCAGTAGATTACTAAAATCCCTAAAATATTCCTTCCTTCGGGAAGGCAGACTTGTGATCAGTTTATGAAACAAGGTCTTGACAAATCGAATCCTTCATGGAGACTTCCTCCATCCTCAAAATAAAGAAGGACTATGAATAACGAGTGTAAGTCTCTTATATAAGTCTTCTATAGCAAAAATCACATTTACATCATAAATTATTGTAGTGTCACCATCCGTGAAAGAAAAATATATCAAAGATACAAATGTGTATTTCTTTATATCGGAATATATTTTTCGCTTATACTGATACTTAAGCTTACATTTCTATTCTTTGTTTAGCATTCGTAATTTTTATACTTCATTAATTTTTATATTAATTTTTTATTTTTGAGCGCTGCACAAAGCGTCTTCCTCGCTTAATCGTGCTGTCAATATTTCTCTCGGAGATTTACTAAGTATGGTACCTTCCCTAAAAATAAAGCATAACAATTAAAATATGGAAAGATGTATAAAGAAAAATACTTACGAAAATTGCAATTGCAATGATGATAATATCGATGGTGGCTCTGGTAGGCGTACAGGCTTCAGATCATATATCTTTAAATGAGCATAAATAGGAATCTGTAAACAGAAGATGTAAGATATAAACCAAAACTACCAAATATATAAAACAAAACTACCAAAACCACTGGAATAAAATTAGAATATTTCATCCAATTCTTGTGGCGAATGTGTGTCGTTGAATCTTACATGCAACAGAGATGTATCTAAGGTTGTAGGTGGTATGCAATTTGTTGGTAAATTAGGAAGTTGATAATTGTAACCAAGTATCGGGGAACACAATTTTCTACCGTAAATTAAATTCAATTCAATTTCTTTCCCCGAATGATTTGCAGGAGCACCTTGAACCTCACATTCTGCTTCTTCACTGAAAATGTCTACGACAGTGTAATAAAATACCTATTTATAAAGTAATATAATTTATATATGACAATATAATTTGGACTTTTCAAAATAATTAAGTCGTTGATTTACCGGAATGTTGCATGATATAGAATGTGTTTCACCAAAATATTAAAAATTGTACTTGTATTTTTTCAATAGTTGACTTACAACTTGAACTTGTGCATCACGCGATTCAATGTTTGGTCGATAGAAGGGATTGAAGTGTATCTTCAAATGAGGTGAAAATTACAAAAGTGAGCAAATTCACTAGAATCATAATTTAATTGGTCAATACCTAGTAATTTTTGTTCACTTTTGTAATTTTCACCTCCTTTCAAAATCCACAATCGACCCCCTGTTATTTTCCGGATGTGCATTACGTGGAATCAAGACATGGTGGAATCAGAAAGATAAAGCCAAAGAGTAAAAAGAAACAGAAAGGAATGTTTTCTAAGTAAACGAACGGAAGTAACTATATATATGTATAGCATAAAAAATGGACGCTTAAGATAGCATGGTGTACATTCGTCCGCGAATTTAACTACTCCCACTATTGATACATTCCCTTCTGTTTCTCTTTACTTTTTTGAGTGAAGCAGTCCGAAAGACGCGCAGTAGACAATGACATGCCGATAGCGTTTGATTGGTCGATAGACAATAAAATGCAATGCCGATAATGTTTGATTGGTAAAAATTTGCATGTCAATATACTCGCTCCCAAACTTTAAAGGTGCGTTTACATGGCAGCGTCAAGATAAAGCCTTAATCACAATGCAAGGATTACCTATAGCGATAGAAATAACATGATTTAACCTATCAGAAATCAGATACACTAGAATATACACTTTCTGATAAGTTGAAATCGTTATTCGCTATCGCTATTCTTTGTGCATTCTTTGTGGAGTGTTGAAGAGCGTATGAGAAACGATAATGAAAAAAAAATTTGAAACGTGTAGGAAATGTGACAAATGTGTTTTGGGCACACTTTACGGAGCGTTTGGGGAGAGTTCGTGGAGCGTGTATGAATATTCAAAACCACTAAGAGTCAATGGAAAGTCAATGAAGTGTTTAACAAGCGTTAAAATTCTTTATTCACACTTCTTTGACGCTTCGACAAGCTTTATATTTTCATCAGGGAACTGTCTTCCCACCTATCCCACGTAACTCGCATCGCAGTCTTTACAACAAATCTTATACACGGCATTCCATTTCATATTATGCGAGAGCGGATATTTATGCACCTTAATGAATTCCCATAATTTTTTAACACTATAAAACGATATCCTAATATCATCGCTGTTTAATTTTTCGAAAACAGTAGGGACGTAAGAAACAGTAAAATCAAGAAAGTCTTATGATTTCGGCGTTATCACTGTCCAGTTTCTTACTTTTAAACTTAATAATGTTTTTCAAATGGTTATTAATATTATCGAAAATAAATTCCAACGGATAATCATTCATGTGTTATATCTACATTGTTCATTTTGCGCAACAATTACCGTACCTGACTCCTATTGCACTATTTTACCTAATTTCTTTGGAATTTATAATAATTTGAAAAAGACCTTAACAATAATTGCAAGCAGTTAAATCTATCTTAAAAAATCTACAATATGAAGATTCACATATTGATTAAGTGTCTATTCCTAACAAATTTAACGTTTAATCGTAACACTTATTTATTAATATTAAAATACAAAAATGTTTTTGTCTTTTAAAAACATAGTCTACGCATGGCATATAATTTCGATATCGCAGTAACGAATTCTTTCAACGTGTTGGTACCAGTTGACATAATATAAATTGAACAAATTTATACAGTTTATGTCTTATAGATTGCTTTTATGCATTCTTTTAGGCGTTGTAAATAAAGGTGCGATGATAGTAGACATCAGTGTAGACATCAGGATAACCCCTAGCGCAAGGAGCAACCCAGGAGGCAATACCAACCTGTACGCCATCACAGATGAGCGGGCCACCACTGTCACCCTGAAAGACAGACAAACGTTTTAGTTAACTTATTGATTATCGAGTTTTCTCAACAATTGGTGAATCAATCATTTCTATTAAACTAGAGACATTATTTTTATGTATTCATTAATGCTACTTATTTACCTGGCAAGCGCCAATTCCCAAACGATTGAGCATGCATAAGTGAGTGCCGGTCAAGAGCATATCAGAGTGCTGTTTCTGACATTGGCTCTGTGAGATCACAATTTGAACCATCTTTTGAAGTATGCTCGAGAGCGGTCCGTTCGTGTATATCCTACCCCATCCTGATAAAGTACATATCTGTCCGAGAAAAGGTTTAGACTTGGCGAGGGGGATCGGTTTTTGGAATTGATTATATTGAATCGGCGATGCGAGCTGAAATGGATAAAACAAATGATTGAAAGTTTAAATTTTCAACGATAAAGGAAGAAAGTGAATAAATAAAAGAAAGATATTAGAAAAAAATTAGAAAAGAAATTATAAATACTGGGACACTCAAAATTATAGAAGCAAATCACAGTAAGAAATTATTCGGCGTTCAACTTGCCTTAATCACAGCGATGTCATTTTTCCAAGCATCTTCGTATCTATCAGAGTATTGCGGATGCACGATAATTTTCTCCACATTATGAAGTTCTCCTGCAGTGACTGAGATAGACCCAGTGGCAACTTTAAAGTTTCTGTAGGGTGGTTCTGTAAATGTTACGCAATGTGCAGCAGTCAGAATCTTATTCGGAGCGATGATGGAGCCACCACAAACGTGATTGCCGTTATATTTCAGGGAAACTTGATGCGGGAATTCACCTGGTGTGGCGGTCTGGCCACCGACGATCGCTTCGGGTTCTTCAGCGAACGTCTCTACAAATTGCCGGTATATAATAAATATGCATTTCATGCAGAATACACGATGATTTGTATATGACTAAAAATTAATAAGCAAAATGTTCATTGGAGGCAAAAATAACGAGAAAATATTTTATCACTATTCAATATATACGTAATACGTATGTCTTTACTTACGCTGCGCAAGAACGCCAATCACCAAGAAGATGGATGGCAGCATGATAATTTAAGCTAGATGAAAAGTAAAACTGGAAGTGGAGGATAATTTCCACTTTTTTATAGTAGATTCATATCTATAAATTGACCTTGGCAACCAGCTGGTCGCATTTCTTAGGATAAATAAATACGATGAGGCATTTTGCACTTTGATGAAGCAGACACGAAATTAAATATTGCATATTAAACATAATTACGCACTATAAGTTGAACAAGAAAGAATGAAATATCATAATATCATGATTAAATATACGAAACGTATCTCTTTATTACTTATTATTAGATATTATATTGTAGATCTGATTGTTCATCCAAGTATAACGTAACATATCGCGAAGCAAACAGAAAATTTCGTTGTTTGATATACAAGTTAATTAATTAAAAGTTATTATTGATAACAAATAATATATTTATGCTTGAACGGTTAAGTAAATAGATATGCTTCTTAAAAAAGAAGATATAACTTTTACTATGAAGAATATTAACTAATTCAAACATGCTTCCCTCATCATTTTTTAATCCTCCATTGGTAAGATCGAAATAAAATAACCCCCACTAAAGTAAACGTATAAAACTGTTCTTATTTATAAATTTTATCTATAAATAAACAGAGGATAGAGTTTTATGTTACTATTTATTTCTTTCATTCATTTTGTACATTAATTAAAAAAAAAAAGCATTAAATCGACGCCATCTTACTGGATACGTTCTAAAAGTTCACCTTACCATGCAACGAAGAGTTAAAAATACGATTTCTACTTTGCATGTTTTTCGTACTAATTGTTTTAGAACTTTTTGTGAAAAATAATTTATGATAGAACTACAAATTGTAAATTTAATTGTCATATCTATAATTTTCAGTTTGTTATGTTGAAAATATAATTGCAGATCAAATAAAAATATTAAGGTAGTACTTATTTAACATGAAATGATTTTCTTACGAGTGCGCTGAAATTTTTAATACAAGTAAATTAAAATGCTCTCTATGTTTGTGTGCTAGAAACATATTGACCGTCTAGTTTTTAAGATAATTGCAACTAAAATATGCTGTTTTAACATATGATGCATATACTCAAGTTAACATCAGATTTTTAATTACAGCATCTATAGTCTATACCATTCTAAGGATTGCAAAAAATTCTTAGGATTAAAAAAACGAGCACGCGATCGAGGAACATGAAATATATTGTAAAAAAAGGTCATAATTTTTTATCTGTAGTTAGGAAAATAGAGTCGTGAGAAAACGCAATGTTTCAATTTTTTTTGGCAACTGAGGAAAGTGATGGGAAGTGGATGGCCAGCCGGGCTA